TGTACAAAATATTTAGATTTCGGCATTAAATAACCTGCCAATGGTTGATATGCCGCAAAAAGAACAATCAACCAAAGAATCATGCATCCAATTGACAGAATCCAATGTTCAAGGTCAGACGTCAAAACTATGATTTTTGAAGGAACAAGGCAAGTATTCAATTGGAAGAGTGACATATTAAAATTTTTCTACCCCCATTTCATCTCTTCTATTTATTTGGCCTTGTGTCGTGTTGAACTAAGATTAAGAAATATATTTACATAAGTATATGTTGAAAAAAGCTGTAAGTTTGCCTTTTCTTCTTTATAAATAAGACCGACCTTCTGTCTCAATTTTTCGTTCTTCCTTTTCCTCATTAGCCTTTCATGACTGCCAGTAAAGTACACTAAACTCTGGCTGTTTTTATTAAGTCCCTTAGCCTATTAAATAAAGAAATTTGCTTGTGTCTGCATTTAGCGTCTGTGTCAAGCCAGACAATTATTCCACAAAACAAAACTGGGGCCGTGGCTCATCTGGTAAGAAATAAACTCTTTTTAAAAAAAAACAAAAAAACTCAGCTACTAGAAACAGTCGGATTCTGAGTGTTGACTTCAATGTTCACTTTTATATTTACATATGCTGTATCCCTGATATTCAGCACTTTATCCCATAAATATAGTACACCTTAAAACATTATTTCTTCATATATGCTTATATATATATATATATAAAAGAAATATGTTGTAGTGGTTCCAACGAGAGAAAAGTATGTATATTAAAAAGAAGAGGGGTGCCGCAAACGTTTTTGGTTGTAATGTGGATTTATTGAGAAAAAATATTATACTTTGTTTTACATAATTTCACGACACGTGTTTCTGGTCTGGTCTCGCGACCGTCTTCAGGTGAAAGTGGAGATTTTTACATATTATTAAAAATAATTAATTTTTCTTCATGTTCAATGTGGAATATTCTCGATATGAGACATTCTGTTTGTGTGTTGGCAATCCGAATTTTCTTTCTAGAATAGAATTTTCTTTAATATATATATATATATATATATATATATATATATAAAACATATGTTAACAGTTAATACATTTCAACCTTGAAAACAGCTAAATGTATAGCCGAAAGCGCTCGGATAAAAAGAACAATTGTTGGACAGTTTTTATCTAATTTATTATCCGAAAAGAAAAAAATTTATTAGGTCGCATGGGAAATTGTATAAAAAACTAAATAAAAGCACCTTGCCTGTAGTATTCAAGGAAATGTGCATGGAAGAAGATTGCTGCCTAAATACACAAATTATATATATATATATATATATATACTCATTACTATCGATTAGTGAGTTCGATTCTTACGTAAATACTAATTATTAAGTAACTGAACACTGCAATTAGATTCAGATATACATTCTATCTATGTCTTTGTCTCTTTCTCTCTCTGTATGTTTGTATACATATATATATATATATATATATATATATAATGATTACTATGAACGTTATAAATAGTAATAAGATATAATGCTTATAAACAAAAATCCCTTAATTCATTAGAAATCACGCTGGACTAAATGATGGTTTCTTCTGCATAAGGGGAACGCAAGTTTGAACCCGGCCGAAATCCACATTCTCTTAACTAAAGACTCTCCAAAACCCAGACCGATAGACTGTTTCTTTAAAAAAAAAGAAAAAAAACGAGAGATGTCTACTGAAACACGTGTATCCAATAAATCTAATACATATAGTAGTAAGTTATCAATTTTTCATTTTGTGTTTAAGAAGAAAATCCCAATGCAGCTAAGCTAAAATCAAGTTAATGACTCAACCCGTCACCGTAATTCTAATCTAAACAACGCCGCTAACTTGGCTAACCGTTTTTAAAGACAGTTGTCACCAAATGACATGGATTTATGCAATGTTTTGAAACCTAGTTAGTCTCTTGTTGGCCATCTGTCACCAAAAGACATCATTTGAACAGATTTTAGCTTCGTATTATTTTCTAGTGCCTTATGTTGTAAAGGACGGAATTGGCGAAGGAAGATAAATTGTAGATGATACGCATTGAGCTTTCGGATAAATAAAATCCCACTCGCAGTGGTAAAACATGAAAGATCGAATATCGTCGCCATGCCAAGAAGTTTTTCATATTATGGTTGCAATGCATGCAATTACTCTACAATCCTAAAGGCTTACGAGACGATTCTTCATTACAAAAGCGATCATGGCTCGCTACAGATTACTTTTCATTTTAATTGTCCTGACTTCTTGGGAAATATAGTGGAGTGGTTTCCCATTAACTTTCTCCACGATTTTTTAATTCAGTGTTGTCTTTCTTCTGCCACACAATAATATTAACTTATAGTGGAGGTGGGGAGAAGAAATGGATTCATGCCTTTTCCAAGGAACGAAAGTGAACGCAACTGACGAAGTCAGAATTTGAAATCGGCTGGCAGACGTCCTTTTTTTTTTTTTTTTTTTCGCACCGATAACTTTAACGCTACCCACACATCCCTAGCTATTTATTAAGCTTTGTAGGATGCAAAAGACACAAGGTGGTAAGTTTGAGGCAGCCAGTGGGGATTAGATTCACTATGATTAATAATGGATCTGAGAGCGATGTTTATTAATCATTACTCCACGGCGAGGCATGTCTTTTTAGGGGACGGAGATTCCACGTGTTTTCTTTTTCCCTGCCTTTTTTTTCTTCTTTCAATTAAGTCAGCCACTTGTAGCGTTTAGTTGGTTATATCAGAAAACGATAGCAGTTTACTGATACTCTTCTTCCGTTGTGAAGCCTGATGATAAGCAGTGTCCCTTGAAATTAGTCTCATATGTCGAACAATAGAGAAAGTACTTTAGTAAAAAACAACAGGCAGTTTATTTCGCGCTTAGATAACATAAATCAGAGGAAGATATGAGTCGAGAATTAAATAACAAAAAAAAAAAAAAAAAATTATGAGGACTGTGTTACTGGGGGTCGTCTTTCTAGCTACCGTGTTTTGTTCAGTCGTATACAACGTTTTAGTCACTTTTAACTAAACAATTACGTATCTGAACTGATAAGTTCTACGATTGGAATAAATGTTTTTTTTTATCTCCGTTACTAGAAAAGGATAAATATTTTTTTTTTTTTTTTTGCAACGAAAAGTCAACCATAAAAATCTCTATTTTATGGTTGAGGTTGGGAAGTCGGAAGCAATGTTTTCGAATATCATATGATGGATTTAAGGAAGACTGTTATGATTCATGAGTTACGGAAGACTCATTGACATGATTTAGAGCCTACGGAAATGGCGTCAGTAATCTTGTTGGTGCATTGGCCGACGTGCTGATCTTGAAAGCTGTTGAAAGCGTTGAGAAAGTTTAGAGAAATTGGAGAAACATTCGTCAGATGCAGTAAAAGATCAGCCAACGAGGAACGATTTATGAGCAACAGCTTAAAAAAGTTCAACACAATAATCATTGCAGTGCAACAATAAATAGCTGATCATTTTTTATACCCACAAGGAGCCTAGACGGAAGAATATTTTTACAAGCCTGATGTTGTTATCGGCGCGCAAAATTAAATCGGCGTGTCGTTCAAATTCTGTTTCGTTCACTTCGCCCTAGAAAAGGCATCTTCCTTCTGTTCTCTATTAAACAGAAAGAAAGATTTGTCTTTCTTGCCTTGGTTGGCAACTAGTCTACGAGAAAGAACACCTTGAATTTAAAACGCTCGAAAAAAATAGAGCAAAGCTTTTTAGACTTGAGAGAATAACCAGTTTAGAAAAACGACACACTGAATTCAAAACCAGCCTAAATAGAGATGGGCCCCGTCAAGTTGTCTTGTCATAGACACTCCAAGTATTTCTATAGATGCAGTACATATGGTACCCCAACGGTCCTCTCGGATTATACAACTCATGATTCTTACACATGCTGCATGAAATTAAGCGAATTGTGTTCAGTACTAATAAAGATGAATGACCTTTTAATTTTTCAATTAAAATACCCCCACCAAAAAAACACATTAATTATTCCATGACTGTTAAATATACACAGTGTATGCATTTTTATTAAGATGGTTTCTTAAATGTAGCTTAACTGTGGCCTTAGGCTAAACGTATGGAGCACCCAGTGAGGAACAAACTCACTACTTTATCGTAATTGATGTAGCGAGACAAGCTTGCTAACATTTGCACCACGTCGAAATATCGCGTTTTTAATTAAGACTATATTTTTATGCTTTCGGGCATTCGCAGAATTGGATGGGCCTTTTATTATTTTCAAAAGTATACATAGCTGGCCAATCCCTATTGCAAACGCTTGCTCAGGCGCATCTGTGTTTATTCAACGCCCACAGAGCCCGCCTGTGGTTTATACCGCTGAGCAGGCATTAGTTACAATTTCTGGGAAAGAGCGTGTTATCTAGCGTGATCAGCAATTTGAACAAGGCCAGCACATTCAATCCCTCGGTTACGATGACTTGTGATTTCGTGCTAGGACAACTGTCGACGGCCCCGTCTACCAAATTTCACTCACAAGGCTTGGGTCAGCTTGGGGTATGGTTTTCAGGCACTTTTCAAAAGTGCCGCACGCTTGGATCGAACTCTCTTGTCCGATAACATCCGGATAACATGCTTCCTGACAAATCGACCATGGTAAGATTCGAACCTGGGTATCATGGACAGAACGCGAACGGGGCCATATCATTTTCAAAAGTAATTATTGTTCAATTAGCTAAGTTAATTAAAGCGTTGGATTGTGAATTTGGTGACAAAGTAATTGTGTAATCCTTGGGCCGGGTATTATTTGTTATTGATTCCTTTCTCATGTCTTATCAACCCTTTAAATTTACTGATACAAATCTTCGTAATTAATCCATAACTCCGAGGGGGGGGTAAGAGGTGTATTCATACCTCTTCCAAGGGCATTTACGCGTATGTGAATAAAACGAACCCAACTGGAATTGGAACACAGCTCTCCGATTAACAATTCTGTGCCATTATCCATTACACCAACCGCACATCCAATTCCAGCACCTGGTATTCCCAGATGGTCACCTATCTCAGTGATGACAAGGCACGGCGGTCCTTAACTTCGTTGATCGTACGGGAACCGGTATTTCAACGTGATATGGTCGTAAGCCCCCGAGCGGTGTGTCATGTGATTCAGGGGAAACGGAGGGAATAAAAACTAAGCAGTAGTAAAAACAAACCATAATATTCCTGGACATCGGCAGCGGAAGGGAGAACAATCTACCTTAAATAATGGATTTAGTTCAAAGTTCCCTGAATGTTACCCGGATCGACAATCATCTGATGAAGGGCAGAGGGCACAACGACCGAAACGTTATGATAACAACAAAAAGACGAAGACAATAGTTGCGTGTTACTCCTCATCCCAGTAATTCAGACAAAGCTATATCTATAAGTTTACTGGGTAAAGAAAATAAGCGAGGATATCAATTTTCTTAGTTATAAGATCAATCAAAGGATTCACACAAAACAAAATGTAATAACCTTTTTGGCAATATTGAAGTAGAATAAAATTGTCAATACTTGAGGAATTTAATATAAATGTATATAAATTCAGTTCAGTTTGAGAAGTTAAAGAATGTTTTGAATAGAGGCGTGGATTTCTTGGTTCTGGATTATCATAATAAAGGATTCACTTTGTATCCCACTAAACACTGAGAATAGTCATTCTATCCATGAGATTTAGTTCAGCTTGTGATGATAAGGCTGTTCATGATAGAGACACCTTTTTATTTGTATTTCGTAAAACTGCATTCTCGTAAGAAACATTGACAAGGACTAACTTCCCCCGGTAGATTCATTTTAGTTTGAGATGCTGAAGTTTGTTCTGTATAGAGACATGTTTTGTTTCGTTTTGGATTCTCGTAATGAATCCCTTTTTCATCGCTAGCAACTATTTTATCTAAAAGATATATTTTGTATCATGCAAGGAGAAAATGACAAGTGTTTAAGCGCTGACAGAAATTCATTACTACAAATTCATTTGGAACTCAAAAGTTTTAAACAATTTACTATCGTTTGCTAATTGCAGAAGCAATGAAGGACTAAGTATGATTTCGAAGACATTTCTAGGATTTCTATAAAAGATGCATTAGTTTAATAGTTCAATATTATGATCGCAAATTCGATGTTTTATAAAAGATTAACAATTCCTGAACAATTTTAACCCTTCTGCCTGAGCTCCTGAGTCAAAATTCGCAAATAATTAGTATGTAATGTTTCACGGTAAATATAAAAATAGTACACAAGTATTATACTTAGTAGGGAGAGAGTATAATTGCTTTTACTTTATCGCCAGAATTCTTTCTTTGTGTGCTAGTCTACCCAGCAGGTAATGCCTCTCATGATGCACAAGAAACACTGGCATGTTGTGCAGTGGACTGAAGACTTCACAGCGGGACAAATTTTCTCTCCAGAATCCATCTTTCACGTTTATAAATCTACCATTCATTCGTGCATCGAATAATGCTGCCATGTCTTGTCTGGTGCTTCTTGCATATGTCTCAAGATTCTTGACAAAATCCAAAGAAGGATCTGTAATGGTATCTCCCCTGACCTGGTATCTAGACTACAGTCACTTTCGCACAGTCGTGACGGGGCTTCCTTATGCCTTTTCTATAAATACATTCACGGGAGTTGTTCTAATGAGCTTTCCTCCTTGATACTTCGACCGCATGAATTTAAGCGTACTACTAGATTGGTAATTAGGTCTCATTGTTTTACTGCTAAAATAGCTACATGTAACGGTAAGTTCTATTCTAATAGCTTTATTTTTAACCTCTTGCTTGTGGAACTCTCTTCCGGTTTCTTGTTTCCCCGCCACTTACGATCTTCAAAACGTCAGTTGCCATTTTCTGTCTTCATAAAATCTGTTCTTTTATTGTCCTATCTGCTCACTAACGTCTTCTTATTTTCTTTCACTGTCTGTAATCCCTTGCGTTTTAGTGGCTTTATCGCCTTGTTCGGCACCAAATGAAAAAAAAAAAAAAAAAAAAAAATTGAAATTACCGTTTCCAAGAAAACGTATCCATGAACTTCGTGCCGTATACTTAGTGAAATCTGCATTAATAAATATCGAAATGATAAAACTATTATGTTTTTTTTTAATGTAATGTCAAAACCCTATTTGTATATAATTTTATAACTTGCATAGATCAGCTGTGACTTGCATAGATTCAGTCTGATTCACCCGGTTTTAACAGAACCACACCCATGTTTCCATTGTGACAAAGCTCCCAAAATACTATCCTTCAAGATATTCAACAGTATTAAACGAAACGAGAGAAAGCAGATTGTGACCTAAGTAGTGTTCAAGGTGCGGCAAAATGCTCCTCGACACATTTTTTTTTATTCCTCTTATTTCTTCTAGCACCCCCCAGTGTATATTTAATAATAATGAAATAAAGAATCATGAAAAACTGTATGATTATTTTCATTTTATGAGACACGATTTTTTATGATATTAATTGATTGATTCATTTTTACGGCTTATCAACCCTTTGCAGGTTATTTAAAGCAGAATTTTTTTTTAGATTGTTAGAATTGTTTTAGAGATAATAATGATTTAGTGATACAAGTCTTACTAATTAACCCATGGCTGGGAGCAAAATTGAATTCATGCCTTTCTTAAGGGTATTTGTGTGCATATGAATATAACGAACCCAACTGGAATTGGAACTTGACTCTCCGCTTTTATGATATTAAATATAGAACTTAATGGTTTGCTTATACATCTGTAAATTCCGATTTCCCTTGTTCCTTAGCACATCTATAATGCCTTCTAATAGCTTGCCTGTCCCCTGCCTTCAAAATTAGATTGCCTGTCCCCTGCCTTCAAATTTAGATGGCCTGTTCCCTGCCTTCAAATTTAGATGGCCTGTCCCCTGCCTTCAAATTTAGATGGCCTGTCCCCTGCCTTCAAATTTAGATGGCCTGTCCCCTACTATCAAATACTTAGTATAACAGCAGCAGAGTAAAGCTTTAACCCTTTTTTTTTAAACTTCCGGCAAGCCTCATTCTAGGGCTGCGTTGAAGCTTTTATATATATATATATATATATATATATATATATATATATATATATATATTACTAGAAAAAGAAAGAAAAGAGGCGCGATAATGCCCTCGTCGTTTAACTTCTGTTTCAGTGAAATGGCATAGTAATATCAAATATATCAGCCGAAAATGATTAGTTTCAGCAATAAAACATAGTAAAAACCGTGGAATTTGTCGCTCTACATGATTGAAGGAAGTAGATGTCATAAAATAACTTATTTGAAAAATGCTGAGTTATTAAAACCCCGTTTTTTTAAACTTTCTCTACCGTTTTTTATTATATAAATGACTTGATTCAAATACAAATTGTTTGAAGTTTACATTAGTACTAAAAACATCAATTTTCCCATGCACTTTAAGACCACAATGTGAAAAATAAAAATACTGAGGAATACCCGCTAGTTAGTAATCATTCTGGGTATGGAGAATGTGTCTACTTATATATATATATATATATATATATATATATATATATATATATATATATATATATATATATATATATACACACACACACATATATATATATAAAAGGCTGTAGAGGCTTTTTTTAAAATTTTCTCTTCCGAATTCTTAATGTCTTTGAAAATGGTTAGCGAAAGGTACAAGGTCAACAATACCCCCACCCACTGATCAATGTTCCCTCGCAAGGACGCAAGCAAAACAGAACGAATTTTAAAAAGGTAAACATTAACTTTTCCCGAGAGAAACAAATTGTTTTAATTAGAAACCTTCCCCAGGGTCCAATAGCAAATATGAGGGCTCTACATAAAGGGTGTGGCCGTATATAGGGAAAAGGCCAACAAAACCTTCCTAATTGTGTGTGAGTATTTTTTTTTGTTGTGTGTGTGGGTTCCTTACCCAATTTTGGTTATTCTTTATATTTTTGGGAAAATCTTTGGAAGTAATGAATCCAGCAACCAACACATTTTGCTTGATTCTAGCCGATTTAAGGTTTACAAGTTCCCCTTCTATCAAGAAAGCAATCACTTTAACGGAAATCTATCTTGTCGACCGAAAAAAGAAAAAAAAAACAAAGAAAATACTCACTATTAAAACACCACAAGCAAAATATAAGCATTATATATGCATATATGTGCGTCTGTTTAGTTTATGCAATCATGTTTGAGACTGGTTGACAACTCTATTTCATAAACAATAATTTTTTGAATTTAGTAGGACTCCTCAATCTAGACCGGCTGTTAGTAATTACACTGTTTAAGAAAATAAAAACAAAAACAGGAATAGCAACTTGAATAGGTGAACCCACTAAAAATGTTTACAGTGATAAGAAATAGAAACAGACTATGAATAATAATAATAATCTTAATGTATGTTATTTATGGTCACACATATATATATATATATATATATATATATATATATATATATATATACACGCAAATTGTAGCCTTGTGCTAGATAGGAACACAATTATGCGAGGATCGAAGTCGCCATTACAGATCTGGGCGGCAAACTTGTTGAATATTGCACTACAGTAACCACTAAGTTTCTTTTTTATTGAATTTTAATAGAAAAAAATCTAAATAAAAGATAGAAATGTGAACCATTCTTACTTTATATCCTGCCACAAAAAACCTCTTTGCATATTTTTTTCTAGAATTTTTATTCAAATACTGCACGCCTGAAGATGGCTTTAGAACGGGTAATTTGAAACGTTTTAGTAACGGCAAAAGAATAATGACTTTTTAAAATTACAGGCGATAAGGCCATATTGGGTCAGCGGTTTTCTTGTAATCGCTACAGATTTTCATGCGACCACTTTTTAGATTGTGATTCTTAGTTTATCTTTTAAGTTTGTTTTAGAATTGTCTTTGAATTCTTTCTTTTCGCGATAAGCATAATACCGAAAGAACATTTATTTTATATTAGATTAAGTAACTAAAATCAAATAATTAAAAATATCCTGCTATTTTAATTAAAACCATTATGCAATGTACCTATAAATCCTTTTGACAAAATGTCATTTTCTCTAGCGTTGTAGCATTATGTATAATTTACCTATAGACACAAGTATATATTGAACTATAGACTCAAATATGAAATCAATAAGTTTTTATCCGTAGACTCAGTTATAAACCAAACCAATTAGCTTCGTTAGAAATTTTGGAAAATTAATTGTGAAAGAGAAAGTACCCGAACTTCCATAACTCATTTCAAAAAAAATTCTGATGAAGCTTAAACAAAAGCGAAATATGTTAAATTTATAAACGTTTCTTATTTGATCTTTATTTTATCATAATAAGTATTGTAAAATAATCGCCAAATATAAAAGCATTTAATCCTTTAATTATTGTTGCTGTTAAAACAGTTTAAATGTTAAGCAAAAAGAAAAAAAAGAAAGAAAAAAATAGAAAAAATTGACAAAGCAAATTCTCATTGGGTGCTTCACATTTTCAGTCTTATACCACATCTAAGCTACTCTTATAAAATAATTTTAGGGGACTTTGACGTGGTGTAATATTTAGCAAGCTTGTCTCGCTATATCACTTACGATTGAGTAGTGAGTCCGATCCTCACTGGGTGCTCCACACTTTCGGCCTTATGCCACATCTAAGCTACTCTTATAAAATAATTTTAGGGGACTTCGACGTGGTGTGATTGTTAGCAAGCTTGTCTCGCTTAGAAAATTATTTTTCCCCGACCTCGGCTTGGATAATTTGAAATTATTATTAAATTAAGCCCCGAAAGCCTTGAGCAATTTTTCTACAGTATTGCCGTTAATTTCCCCTTAAACCTCGACCTTATGTCATATTTGGTAGCGATCTGAGAGCATTGACAAATCCTACATATATGTGCAATAAGTTGTTCATTTGAGCAACTTTGTACTAGCCATTTACTGATCTTTAGTTCTTATCCTTTTACACAGAATATCCAAGTATAAGCAGGTGGTTAGGTTCTATTATTCTTTGTACGGTTACGTGAATTAGAACCTGAAAACAGAATACGACTCCTTGATGACTTTTGCAATCATTGCAATTGTAACCGTATGGAATCCATGCTTTGTATTTCATTTTTGAGCAGTTTTTTGTATACTTTTATTATTTCCAACTATTGCTCTCATCTTAGTTGTTATAGATGTTGTTATAGACACAACGTTTCGGCCAAGAACTCTCTGGCCATCATCAGGTGTCTATAGTTTGGCAGATATGTGATATTTTTTATTATTCTGTTCCTGTGATTGCTGAACCAGTGCTTTCCTATCTAACCCAGGGATTGAACTCATGACCATTCTTTGTCTACCGAAGGCGATACACTCATTGGCGAGTGGTCCAAAATTAGAGAGATTCACGGCGCCGTGCTGTCTCCCAGCCGTGTGTTTGTTCAGATCAATGTACTAAGCCCGAGGAATCCATTATTTTCTGTCGCAGTTCGATTAAGTGGGGAGGGGGAGAGTTCCTGTCCTCAAGACGACATGCGAGGTGGATTTGTTTTTTGAAATTACCCTCTTCTATCCTTTGCCTAAAAAACAGGACCTACAAGGCAATTTTAATTTAGTTTTCTTCTCCTAGACTGGTTGCCAACGATAGGGCTCGGGCTGTTCTGCTTTTCAATCTATAGCAATGGGAGAGGGAAAAGAGATGGATTCATGCCTTTCCCAAGGGTATTAGCACGTAAGTGAATGCAATGAACTCAACTGGAATTTGAACTCGGCTCTTCGGTGTTGGTTTTTATGGCGGTTTCGTGTAACACAATAACCAGTAGATGTCCTATATCATAATGGACATGTGGTGGTGGCCAGAAGGTACCTGGCTGAAACGTTGTGTCTATATGTTATGATGAAACATACCTATTCTATAGTTAATAGATTCTCCCACCTAATATAAGTAGGAGTAGTAATAGAAACGACAATCAGTCAGTCGATGTCGGACGACAGTTAGTCGAATACGAAAGTATCAGCGACAACAACAAGATTTCTCAGCGTAATACCTATTATATCAAGTTCCTAACGTTTTGTACGTCGAACCTATTTTAGTACCGATTTAGTACAAATACAAGCCTCCACTGCGAAATCACTCCACAACACTATAATTACGTCTGTAAAAACCAAGATGAGAACAATCGTTCAAAATAAAGTATATTAAATGTGTATTAAATCCGTGCTATACCCCCCCCCAAAAAAAAACAACAACAAAAAAACAAAACAAAAAATACAAAAAACAAGCAGTATGAACAAAGATGAGGTCGTCTTTACCTTTGATTGTGCAGTTTGTCCCACTAAATGATGGTTTGCATACACATTTATATCCGCCATTTTCTGTGTTCATACAGACGCTTTGCTCATTACAGGGATTTTTCTCTTGACAAATGTTGTTGATTTCGCAAAATTCACCTAAAATAGAAAACAGAAAAACATAAGATATTTTGTTAAAACTTATTGTTTTGGTGGGACTGGGAGGCACTTTTCCTTCTGATTTTCACTGGATGCATTAATACAATGGAGTTGTACTGAAGTTATTTTCAATGTATATTGAGAAGTTCTCGACATGATCAAGAAGTCCATTAAAAAGACTTAGAAAAGTAACTTTTTAATTCGACACAACTGCCAAGGAGTTATGATCGTATAAATTTTTGAATCTGTCGCGATTAAGGTTTGGATCGGCCATGAGTATTCTTCGATTTAGCTTCATTTGTTTGTGGTGATTTTGTTTAGCGGCATATCAACACCTCTATGGGTTATTTAATACCAAAATCTATTGAATATGACTTCAACTAAATATATTAAAGTATAGTGAGCGAAATAAAGGGTTATGTTCGACATTCCAACCAACTGAAGAAGGCCGGAGCGTTGTAATAAATATAGCGACAAAGTTGAGGACAATAGTCGAATAATGTAAATAAATATATATATATATATATATATATATATATATATATATATATATATATATAATTAATAATTAAATTTCTGGTGGGTGCAGTTTCATGGTTCCACGCAATCGTCAGGCGGTCAGTCGGCAACTGCAGTGCGAAAATAGGAATCTTACTCGCCTAGGAAAACCTGACGTGCATATCATGCACACACCAACCAAACTCAACTGGAGGTGGGAAAAACCCATATATATATATATATATATATATATATATATATATATATATACATATATATATATATATATATATATATATATATATATATATATATATCGTACAGTGTTTACACACAAACATATATATATATATATATATATATATATATATATATATATATATATATATAAAAAGAGAACATTGAAGTCAACACTCAGGGGCGACAGGGTATTTCATGAAACAGAATGTTATCTCTGAGTGTTGACTTCACTTTCATATTTACATACGCTTTATCTCTGATATTGAGCACTTTATCCTATAAATATAATACACCATAAAACTATATTCCTTCATTCTTTTTATATATATATATATATATATATATATATATATATATATATATATATATATATATATATATATAAACACTGTACGATCACCGAAATTATGTAACGTCGAACCTGGTCAGTACCTCGATGGGTGACCGGTTGGGAATACCAGGTGGTGCTGTAAGCTTGGATGTGCGGGTGGTGTAATGGATAATGGCTCTGAATTGTTAATTGGAGAGCTGAGTTCCAATTACAGTTGGGTTCGTTATATTCACTTACGCACAAATACCGTTCTTTTTCCTCCAGCTATGGGTTAATTAGTAAGGTTTGTATCAAGAAAACATTATTATCGCAAAATAAATTCTTATAATGGCTTCAAATAACTTGCAAATGCTTGATAACCCGTAGAAAATAAATTAATCATTAATCACATTGATGTGTCGCTTCCTTATAAACAAAAAAAAAACGTAATGAAAATGTTCTATTCTTGAAACAAATTGTGATGGGGAATGAAAAGTAAATGTTTTACAACAATGTGGATCACAAGTAACCACAAGGCAAATGAAAGGGACAAACAATAATCATGCCAAATGCTAGTCTTCATCCAAAGAAATTGATGCTTTATATAATATGGAACAAGATATAAAGTCTACTATGATAGGCCCCTTGCAGAAAAGCAAAGGATGGATTCAATGAAGTTCAGTCAAGTACCGCTCAGGTATTTAAATCAGGTGAAGTCAACAATCAATGAAAATTGTGCGTCCGGAGTTAGTGAAAAGAATTCGCGTAACATTTTATTAAGATAACTCTACACTATGTTTATTTCTTTGATAACTGGGCAACAGTCTAGCTGTGAGGTTTTTCTCTCATACACCGTATTTAGCAGCTTTCGATTTCTATTTAAAAGGTATCGGTCTTTGCAGAGGTTTCTTAATGAAAAAAATCCTGTGGAAGACTAAAAAGTTACCTTTGCAAAGAAAGATAAAATGTTCTGGGAGATTGGAATTACGAAGTTCTTTAAAAGATGACAGAATATAGTGAATGAAAATATTAATTATCTTGTTCAATAACAAAAATCCACGCCACAATTCCATTAGGGTTTTAGAGGCACCACATATATGGTAGACATAACAACAGTGGCGGTGTATCTTGGGAAAGACAGCCTGACGGGGGCCCATATTCTCGATAAAAAAAACTTTTAAAGCAAGAAAGCCCAGTCTGCTAGGAGAAAATCGATTCCAAGTTCATTAGCGTGAAGTGAACGAAATAGAATTTAGCAGAGACTGAATTCAGCGTTCCGAATTCTTGTCCTGCGTCGAAAAGAAAAAAATTAATAAAATGAAAGAACCATTTAGTCCATCCTATATTTATAAAAATATATTTCAAATCATTGGATTGGAGGTTGAGCAGTGTGAGGTTCAACTATTTCTATCAAGCAACAAGAAGTTTATTTCCAAAAAAAAAAAAAAAAAATGCATTGTCTTTTTCTCATAAATTATTTATTTGAGCAATTACGAAAATTACAGTCATGTTGAAGCATTTTGTAAAATAAAAGCTATAACAGTAAATAAAGCCTTACTTTCGACAATGCCGAAACAGATCTAGTTAAAAGGTCGGAGAATTTGAACAGAGCTATCTAACCGAATACGGACATCTGCTGTTAGTAATTGCAAGCTGTGACCTAAAAGCTAGTTTCATCTGTCTCAAAGTGAAACTTCAAAGAAGAAACTAGTAGTTAAAATGTCTTTTTTTAAATTATCAACAAGGCATTGTTCAAGCTGGTGCTAGTACAGGATGTTTTCACGAGTAATGGGCTCGGTGTGCTGCTTCACCTTAATACGCCATTAACGGGTGACTTTTATGTAGCATTGCTTCGTGTCTATTTGCGTCCATTCATACACTTCATTTGCCTAAACAATTATGGGCAATCCCAGCACGTCATCTGAAGGAAAGTTGCCTAAAATTGATTTGATGTGCATGCTGGAGGCGTTCAACGAGTGTAGCTACCACGTTTACAGAACACGAACCGAATAGACCATCTATGGGACGTGGTGAAAAGGTCTATTCGTCCACAAGACCATGCATTTGAAATATCATGTGGGCACCTATTGAGACATCATGGCTGAATATACCTCTTGAGGTTTTCTGATCACTTGTAAAATCGATACTAATTCAATTGCTGCAGTTTGCCGATCTAGATGAATTCCTACACGATCTTAGACACCTACCCCATCACTTTTGTCACGTCATTGTATGCTACCATACTATTGACCATTTATTGTTTTTATTTTATGTAATATTGGTGCATGATAGAAGCGATATAGGTTTCTTTAGTAAGTGACGTAAGAGAAGATAATTTGGTGCAGCCAGTAAATTAAAAAACTGATTATTTGTTAGAATGAGACGTGAAAATAATTAATGGTTGATTCAAAAGGACACATCCTGATCTTCAATGTTATATTGAAGTTTGTTTTCAAGGCTTTTCGAGATTTGTTTTGCTATGATCGATGTCCGTGCTTCTGGGATTCAATGTAGAAGGTGCTAACGAAAACTCCGGGAATATGAACAACGTGCGCTGAAGGTTGAGCCAAGAGGATTACTTTGAAGGAAATGGTAGAAACTAAGATTAATTTCTTTTTTTTTCGACTTCTTATAAACAGTGTTTTACTACGAACAATCTCATATTGCTTTTCCTGCAATTAAAATATTTAAAATTGTGAAAAAAAAATAATCCCAAAAATGTAAAAAATATAAAATAATCTTAAAAAAAATAACGACAAGAAAAAATAGGGAGAAATATTTATTCATTTTCGTGAAATTTTTAAAAGTAAGAAAAATGAATTTTTTTCACAATAAAAATAAATAACGCACTGTCATTTTTTTCCACCTACAAGCGGACACTATCTATCTCAAAAAACTAATGTCGGTATAGTTTCCACCGTCCCTCTGTTTATTTCTTGCATCCGCTGATAAAGAACACAGGCGTGTTCGAAAATTCTGAACTTGGAACCTCATCTGGTTAATCTTAATAAATGTTTTTCATACCGATTTCATTAGTACCCTTTCGTTTGACTTTGTTTTATTGACCAAGATCAACTTATCTACTGTACTTACACAGCAAAAACTCCAAAATTACCTCATGTGGGAATAGTCTGAGCAACCTTGCGCCAGTCTTCTTCAACTCTGGACTGGACTCGTCTCGGAATATATATATATATATATACTGGACTCTTCCGTCGTATTCAACGTATGAGGTTCAAGCAACTAACTTCCTAGGAACCAACAGCCAACCACCTGAACATATGCTTTGATTATAGTGGTGAAGGCTTTGTGCAGAACCAACGACACTTTTTGAAGGGCCGAATACAGAGACCCGGTACACTACGTGCCACAAAGTTCCCAACCGAGTTTTGAATTCAGAGTCGTTCTTCTCTTAGACCGGTTGCCATCCAAAGCTATAGAACGCAGTCTGTCCTGCTATTTAAGCATAGCTGGGAGGGGGAAGAAGAAGAGGATTCCTAATTTTCCTAAGGGTATTAGTAATTGAATGTAATGGTTTCAACTGGAATTCGAACTCGGATCTCCGATTCCTCTATCCATTACTCCAATCCACATCACTCCATCCACCCCCTCTCTCTCTCTCTCTCTCTCTCTATATATATATATATATATATATATATATATATATATAGAGAGAGAGAGAGAGATCCGTGCATGTTTCATTAAATGACTGACAAATTTCTCTATATCTACCACTGATGTGTTAACGGCCATCATTTAATTTGTCTATCAAACTTTAGATATGAATGGCGAAGCTCAGGCTGTGACTCTAGCTATCTCGAAGGCGTTCGACAGGGTTTGACATGTTCTTCTTCTCTGCAATATCGAGGGTTACGGTGTCAAGAGTCGAATATTTGGCCCTATCCAATCGTTCCTGAAAATTGTGTAATCAAGATCGTGTTGAACTGGCAAA